GGCCATTCTTCTGTTCTTAATTAGCTGCACTGGAATTTAGACAAGACACCAAGTTTCATACACCTGTTCTTGCAAAGGACAAAAGGCTCTGTCATCTTTAATTATGACAAATGGTCAGGGGTTTGGGTATACTTACCATATTCAAAATAACACATCCAGCGGTGAATTGTCCCCTAACATCCTGGTGAGACTTTGGGTCAGTACTCACTCAGAAGACTGACACCTATTCAGTCACTACTTCCACTTCCTGCTACATTGTCCTTGAAAAAGATAACGCTTGGAAGAGCAGACAAATTCACAGGATGTTATAGCAGCAGGTGTTTTGCTATGCCAGAAATACTTTCTAGGAAATCATAGCAACAGTGAGAGCTCCTGTAGGTATCTGCATGCCCAAATTCCACTGCTTTCGGAGGATGAAGCTGTGTGAGCATATGGTTCACAGGCACAGAATAAATACTTCATTAATCTTAGGTGGGGAGTCTCTGCATGTTCTCCTCACTCCCCTTTGGCAACTGCTCCCCCTCCTGGATATCCTCCTTCCTCCAATATCTTTATCTTTGTAAAGCCTGGGTAACCTCTATGCTTTCAGCTGTTGCAATTGGATATAGCTAGCGTAGCACTTAAATTGGAAAACTCCCAAAAGCATCAGAGAAACTTGTTTTTCCTAGTTCAGTGAATGTTCTTGAATATATTTATTTTATATCAATTATCGACTATATGTTTGAGAGTGTTTGTCTGTCTGTCTGTCTGTCTGTCCATCTCAAATTCCAAGAGCTCCTAAATGGCAAGAGCTAGGACCATCAAATTTAATATGTAGCTTCCTTTTATCATAACTTAAAAAAAAGTAAGGGTTTGTTTGTTCCAGGAAAATAGAATGTGCCTGGAAGGGGATTGCTTCTCATAAAACCATACAGAAAAGAGAATCACCAAGCAGGTGAAAGAGGCTGGCTGGGGAGCACGCTCTCCCCCATCTAGGACTGCACCAACCCCAACTCTCCCACCCCCTAGGTGGTTGGCTGTCCTCCTTACTTAGGGAACGAGGGACAAGTGCAGTTTGCTGCATTCCTCACTCTGGCTGGGCAGTGAAGATAACCCTGGACCTGCCCCAGCTGGGGGACATGCACCCTGCCCCAGCAGCGCCTACTGAGCTGCAATGGCCATGGAAAGGCACTTCTCACCTGGCCCCAAGTTGCTGCATTGCAAGAGGGCTGGGGTTGTCTTCTCTTCCAAGGGCAGCCTGCATACTGAACCCCGCATCTCCAGCCCCACCCCAGAGCACTGATTGAAATGAAGACAAACAAAAAATAATTAAAGACATGAGCAATGCCAGATAAATCTTCTAGTAGATATATATTTTAGAAGAGGTAACATTTTCAGGCCTTTTTAATAAAATAAATTCAGGAGTCTTTTTTTTTGCTTCACGGTGGCTGAGTTATTGCTAGTTACCCCCATCATCACTAACAGCAAACTGTTCCTTGTACTGCTGCCATCTTGTTCATGTTAATGTTTTAAATATATCATTCAGGCATTTAAGTACCAGCTGCTGCAACAGCACTGTGAATGGGCCTTTCTTTGGTGACTGAGGTGTGTCCTGTTGGAGGTACACTCACACTGAAACAACCACATTTATCCTTAACAACAATTTGGATCATTAGTGACAGTGAAGTATGGTCTAAATCTACATTTAAGCCAAACAGGTTTGGCTCTGGCCCCACACCTGGGGCAGTGAGGTTCAGGCAGGCTGAGGTTTCCTTTCCCCTTCCTGGGGCTGTGAAGTAATTTTTGTTGTCTGAAGGGGATCTTGGTGCAAGGAAGTTTGAGAACCCCTGAAATAAAGTAATTCGGTGCGTCACAGGATGATTTTTCTTCCTTTCTCATGGCCTGAATGCTTGCCAATGCAGCTGGACACAAAGAGGAGCCATCTCTGTCAGGAGATGCTGTTACATTGGAGCAAAATGAGATGAAAGGGGAGCCAGCTACCATCAGGAGAGGAACTAGAGTTGCCAATGGGTAGGCATGTTCAAAGCAGAAGGGAACCAGGTAGTTGGTACAGAGGAGTGGAAAAGAAAGGGACCTGAAGACAGAGAACCACAGGTCAGGTACCAGAAGAGAGAGAAAAGGAGAAGTGTAGAGCTAAAACCTGACATGTGATTTAAAAAAACCAAAACCAAATGCAAAACAATGCATCGCATTAAAGATATAAACTACACCACGATATTTTCCTCATTTTACTTTTCCCACATAACCTACTGCAGTAGTTGCTCAGGGCTGATACCCCATTCTGAACGGGATAGCTGAGAGCTTGAGGACCCCTGGCCTGGGCCCATCACAGATCATTTCAAGCTCTCTGCTATGTCATTTTGAGAGCCGGGCTTCCCTTTCCTTAAAGATTTGCACCCCATGAAATGGTTTATTTGGCCCAACAAAACAGCCCCTCATCATTAGCAGCCCCACACAACAGGAATGCAGTCAGCTCAAACATTTTCTTTCCTCCTGTAATTTTTATTCCTCTCCCGCAAACACAAACCACCCATCCTCCCAAAAACCTAACCAATTTTTGAAAGTCACTTACCTTTGCCAGGCCGATGTTTTCTGCCTGATGGCAGGATGCTCCAGCCACTCGCACGCTGACATATTTAGTTATTTCTCAGGGATGCCATGTGGGAGCCACAAAAGTACCTTCTTCCCACAGAGTGCACATCCCCCCCACATACAAAATAACACACACATTACAGGGAACACAACACAAAATAACAGACACACACAAATTATAGGGTATGAGGCTCATTTCAAGCACTGCTCTCAGGAGTATGACAGGCCCCATATGCATTATGAAATTGGCTTATGAATATGCATGTGCATAATGTGGAGGTACTTCGGACAACCTGCCGCCCTTGCAGTTACAGGCTGCTGGCTCTGCACTAGGGATGTAATAATATAATCTATTAACAGATTAACCAATAAGCAAAAGCTTATAGGTTAAGGCTATAGACTACACACATTCCCACCCACTCACTAAATTTTTTAGCAGGCTGATCAGCAGCCTGGCTCTGTCCTGGCTTGTGCCAGGTCTGGGACCTACCCCTGCTCTGGCTCTGCATTTAAAGTATATTAGGAGCCAGGCTCAGTTCTGGCTTGCACTGGGTTTGGGATCTCAGACAGCCCCGTGGACAGGAGCTGCTGCCTCTGTATCCAAAGCAGCAGTGATGGGGAAGAGGCAGCTGCTCATGGTGGGTTCAGGACCTATCCCTGTTACGGCTCTGCATTTAAAATGCATTAGGTACCAGGTAGGCAGGCAGCCCCGCTCTCTTCCAGCTCATGATGGGTCCAGGAGCTCAGCCCCCCGCCCAGGACAGGGGCTGCTTCAACCCTGCACTGCTACTTCTGTATCAGCAGGAGGCAATGGGCAGCCGGTCCACAAGGGGAGCTGGTTTTTAAACAGGCTCCCCTTGCAAATCAGCTCCCACCTGACACCCCACACTGCTGCCTCGAATACAGAGGCAGCAGCGCAAAGTGACCGGGAGCTCCTCGGGAGTGGGGCCGGATCGCACGGGCTGCCGGCCCTGCCCCCCACGGATTATAGACTAGTCAAGTAACCATGGGGTTCTCAAACTTTGTGATACCACGACCCCCTAAAATGCTAAATGAATGTGTCTGACTCCCCCCCTCACTGCCCTGAGTCGCTTCCTCCCCCCCCCCGTCTCACCAGACTCCTTGCCCTCCTGGGGTTCCTTCAAGGCGTTTGCGGTCCTCAACGCCCTTCCCCCCTCCAGGCTCCTTCCCCCTGCCTCTTTCTCCTCTGTGCCTCTTTTCCGCTCCC